CGAAAAACACAGGTTAAAAACAACCGGTAACCTGGTTGCCGAGCTCACGAAGTGAATTGGCTTGTTTTAAAATGTCGTTGCCAAGCGAGGAAAACCCATCCCCAAACAAAAACACCCGGGGGGACCCTAGGGGGGGGGGGGNACCATTGACCTCGCATCCGTAGAAAGCCGGGACGGAGCACGCCGGGTCCTCACCAGACCACGCTTGCACATCACCAAGCGCAGAGCGCCGTGAGATATTCAGCGAGTCGCATAAAGGGTGCGCTGCATCGTGTTCAGGGTGTTCGGCATCTTATGCTTACTTCCTTGCACAAAATGATCTACTCGACCACCATGATGGTTACCGCCACAAAAATCAACAGAGGTAAAAAAAATAAACGGTGACCTGGTTGTCGAGTTCACGCAGAATTGGCTCGTTTTACGACGTCGATGCCAGGCCACGAAACCCCAACCCCGATGGCAAACACCGGGGGTGGCGGCTTGTCTTACAACGTCGTTGCCAAGCGATGAAAACCCCACCCCGATGGCATAACACCGGGGGGGAGCGTAGGGGGGCGGGGATGTACTCATAGTCGTCCATGCCATACTCGTCAGACCGTTGACCTCGCATCCCTAGGAAGCCGGGACGGGGCACGCCGGGTTCTCACCGGACCAGGCTCTTACATCACCAAGCGCGAAGCGCCGTGAGATATTCGCCGAGTCGCATGAAGGGTGCGCTGCATCCTGCTAAAGGTGTTCGGCATCTTGTGCTTACTTCCTTGCATATGGATGACAGCTGCGTATGACTACATGCTCCTCGTCGTTAGAGTGAAGCACATGCACCTCTCGGCACCCGTGCACTTGTGTTGGATGAACAGAGAAGACCTGCGCGTCGTCGTCAGACGTAAGCACCGGTACATCTCGGCGGCCTTGCACTTGTGTTGGATGAAACAAGAAGACATTCTCGTCGTCGTCAGAGTGAAGCACATCTACCACTCGGCGCCCGTGCACTTGTGTTGGATGAACAGAGAAGACCTGCGCGTCGTCATCAGACTAAAACACAGGAACATCTCGGCGCCCGCGCACTTGGGTTGGATAAACAGAGAAGATATGCACGTCGTCGTCAGACTGAAACACAGGTACATCTCGGCGGCCTTGCACTTGTGTTGAAACAAGAAGACATTCTGGTCGTCGTCAGAGTGAAGCACATGCACCTCTCGGCGCCCGTGCACTTGTGTTGGATGAACAGAGAAGACCTGCGCGTGGTCGTCAGACGTAAGCACCGGTACATCTCGGCGCCCGTGCACTTGTGTTGGATGAACAGAGAAGACCTGCGCGTGGTCGTCAGACGTAAGCACCGGTACATCTCGGCGCCCGTGCACTTGTGTTGGATGAACAGAGAAGACCTGCGCGTGGTCGTCAGACGTAAGCACCGGTACATCTCGGCGCCCGTGCACTTGTGTTGGATGAACAGAGAAGACCTGCGCGTGGTCGTCAGACGTAAGCACCGGTACATCTCGGCGCCCGTGCACTTGTGTTGGATGAACAGAGAAGACCTGCGCGTCGTCGTAAGACGTAATCACCGGTACATCTCGGCGGCCTTGCACTTGTGTTGGATGAAACAAGAAGACATTCTCGTCGTCGTAAGAGTGAAGCACTTCTATCTCTCGGCGCCCGTGCACTTGTCTCGGATGAACAGAAAAGACCTGCGCGTCGTCGTCAGACGTAAGCACCGGTACATCTCGGCGGCCTTGCACTTGTGTTGGATGAAACAAGAAGACATTCTCGTCGTCGTAAGAGTGAAGCACTTCTATCTCTCGGCGCCCGTGCACTTGTCTCGGATGAACAGAAAAGACCTGCGCGTCGTCGTCAGACGTAAGCACCGGTACATCTCGGCGGCCTTGCACTTGTGTTGGATGAAACAAGAAGACATTCTCGTCGTCGTAAGAGTGAAGCACTTCTATCTCTCGGCGCCCGTGCACTTGTCTCGGATGAACAGAAAAGACCTGCGCGTCGTCGTCAGACGTAAGCACCGGTACATCTCGGCGGCCTTGCACTTGTGTTGGATGAAACAAGAAGACATTCTCGTCGTCGTAAGAGTGAAGCACTTCTATCTCTCGGCGCCCGTGCACTTGTCTCGGATGAACAGAAAAGACCTGCGCGTCGTCGTCAGACGTAAGCACCGGTACATCTCGGCGCCCCTGCACTTGTGTTGGATGAACACAGATGACCTGCCCGTCGTCGTCAGACTAAAGCACAGGAACATCTCGGCGGCCGTGCACTTGTGTTGAATGAAACGAGAAGACCTGCTCGTCGTCGTCAGACTAAAGCACAGGGTGTTCGGCATCTTGCGCTTACTTGCTTGCATACCGATGACAGCTGTGTATGACTTACCACATTTTCTTGTGCTTCCAGTTTCAGAGACAGTTGTAAGCACTGTGTAACTGCCTCGAGGGTGCTTGACCATTGAAACGAAACGTGATGCGATCATCCCCCTTGCTCGGAGTAAGGCTTCTCCACCCCGCACAACATGAT